CAAGGTGTGGCCCTGCCATCTTTCTGCCAGAGCAGGGTCCAGCCCTGGCCACTCAGCTGACCAGTGTCATTGCATGGGTTCTGCCCTCAATGCAGTTACCCCACTGTGCGATGAACTACTCACCAGCTCTTCCTGTCCTGGTGCAGTGTCACCCGCAACTACCTGGACTGGCTCACGTCCATCCCATGGGGCAGGCACAGTGACGAGAACCTGGACCTGAGCCGAGCGCAGGCGGTGCTGGAGGAGGACCACTACGGCATGGAGGATGTCAAGAAGCGCATCCTGGTGAGGCCGCGCTGCCCAGCAGGCAGTGGGGTTAGGAGGGGCAGGGTGCATGTGGCCTGGGTTTTGCTGCGGGGCAGTCAGCGTGAGCAGGCTGTCAGGGTTCCTGTCTCCAAGCCACTATGCCATGAGAGGTTCCCATGCTCACAAGCCTCTCTGGCCCCAGCTGCCCTGTAAAGGCCCTGTATTCCAGCACTGTTACCAGACTGTTGAGTCGCCTGTGCCTGAATTCTGAGGGCACACCCATCTGTGTCCTTGGCCACAGCCTGTTGAGGTCAGGGTTTATGTGGAGCTGTGGGTCAGTGCTGAGGAGCCCCTGGCAGGTTTGTGGGGCTTAGGCAGGGGCTAAGTTGCTACGTGAGGGTCCCAGCTGAGAGACTGTTGCAGGCCCTTGGCATCCCCAGACAGTCCATGGGACCAGCCACTATATGACACAGGGGACCTCAGGAGCTGGGTGGGTAGCAGGAGCCAGTGGGGCCAGGACCAGGGCCCAAGGCACTGGCTGAGGGAGGTGTGCTGTGAGTCATCCGGACAGCACTGGCGCCTAGTTGCCTCTCCCCCCATGGTAAGCGCCTGCTTGGCCTGGGTGGCTCCTTGGGGACAAGGCTGAGCCTGCCTGCAGCCCCTCACCCTGGCTACACCCACTGATCCTCTGCCCTCAGGAGTTCATCGCTGTCAGCCAGCTCCGCCGCTCCACCCAGGGCAAGATCCTTTGCTTCTACGGCCCTCCTGGCGTGGGCAAGACCAGCATTGCCCGCTCCATCGCTCGCGCCCTCAATCGCGAGTACTTCCGTTTCAGCGTTGGGGGCATGACTGATGTGGCCGAGATCAAGGGGCACAGGTGGGTGCCATCCGGTCCTCCCTGCTGACTCATCTCACCTCAGCCTCCCTGTCAGGCTTTGCAATTAGTTAGAATGCTCTGGTTGCCCCACCCCCACCCCCACAGCTGCACTCCCTGGGCACAGAACTGAATATCTAGGTGTTGGACATGAGGCTGGCTGAGTGCAGGTGCTCCGTGGCCTTCTGTCCTCACACATGTACACCCCCCTTCTGATTTCCGCTCCCCCTTTTGCTACTTTTTGAGGTAGGGTGTCATGTAGGTCAGGGAGGTCTCTAGGTCACTGTAGTTTGTGCTGGCCAGAACTCACAGTGATCATCCTCAGTTGCTGAGTGCTGCTGGGACTACAGGTGGTGCCCCCACGCCACAGCTCCTGTCTTCCGTAGCTGTGGCTTTAGCACAGGGCCACAGGATATGCAGAGGGTGGGCAAAATGCTGGGGCCTCCCGTCCTCAGCAGCACCAGCCCCAATGCGAAGTTCCAGGCCCAGCTGCCCCTGGCCCTGTCTGAGCTGGGTGCTGGGGACTGTGGGTTAGGCATGTTCCCCTCTGTGGCACGTGTGTGTGGGTGCTACTGGGGCTGGGACGCGGATCTCCCCATCACCTCCAAGCCACCTAGGGGTGTGGGTCATGCAGTGCAGAGGTGTGGGTGGTGGCTGGGCTCCTAAGGGGCTCCTAACTTGTCTGTGCACCCCCAGGCGGACCTACGTGGGTGCCATGCCCGGGAAGATCATTCAGTGCCTCAAGAAGACCAAGACAGAGAACCCCTTGGTGCTGATAGATGAGGTAGCCCTCAGGTGGAGCACGCACGCTCCCGGGGGACGTGTCCAAGGCCTTGCCCTCCCAGGCAGTGGTCCACACCCCTGCCTAGGCAACTTAGTGACTGAGCCATTCCCTGTCTCAGGACTTGCAGTGTGTGTAGGGGTGTGGCTTCAGTTCCTCAGTACCAGGGAAAACGCCACGGTGCTGGCGGGAATGATGTAAAAGGCGGTGTCCTCAGCCCTGGTCTTCCTGTCGCTGCCCTAGGTGGACAAGATTGGGCGTGGCTACCAGGGGGATCCGTCATCAGCACTGCTGGAGCTGTTGGACCCTGAGCAGAATGCCAACTTCCTGGACCACTACCTGGATGTACCTGTGGACCTGTCCAAAGTGCTATTCATCTGCACAGCCAATGTCACCGACACCATCCCTGAGCCACTGCGTGACCGCATGGAGATGATCAATGTGTCTGGCTATGTGGCCCAGGAAAAGCTGGCCATTGCAGAGGTGCTCTGTTCACTGGGTGGGCACACCACTGGTGGGCCCGCCTGTCTGGGTCCCAGCCACCTCCCTGCAGGGGCATGGCACAAAGGTGGCCTCTACCCCCTGGGCACTCCTAGGCCTCTCACACCAGCCACCATCAAGGCCTAGGGTGGGTCCTTCCTGCTCTGGCCCTGGGAATCTCTGACCTGGGATTCCCCAGCTGGGTGTGGGGGAGGAGCTAGCCTGTACCCTTCTTCTCTAGGCCTGAGTCTGTCCCTCCTCACTTCCCAGAGGGCTGAGCTTCAAGGTGCTGGGACAGGAGGGGAGAAACAGAGGACCTGTCCCAGCATGGATAGGTGGCTCTGTGCCTGCATTTAGAGTGCCCTCAGCCACACCAGCAGGGTGCAGGGCTGCCTTGTAGGAAGTGCTGGAAGGCTGTGGGTAGGGGGCTCAGTCCAGGGAGCAGGGAGGTCCTCTTGGAGCAAGTAGCATCATGGTGACAGGTGGGGCAGGAAGTGGACCCAGGTGCAGGGTACAGCATGGGCCAAAGGCCTAAGGACAAGTGGCACCGTGAGCCCTGGCTCCCTATGGGTCTCCTTCCTGGGCCCTGCACTGACCCTGGTGCTCCCTGCCCACAGCGCTACCTGGTGCCGCAGGCGCGGGCTCTGTGTGGTCTGGACGAGAGCAGGGCGCGGCTGTCGGCCGCCGTGCTGACACTGCTCATCAAGCAGTACTGCCGCGAGAGCGGGGTGCGCAATCTGCAGAAGCAGGTGGAGAAGGTGAGCAGCGCCCTGGCCCCAGCCCGGGGTCCCCAGCTGTGGGCCCACATCGCAGCCCACATGCCCTCCTGCCCACCTGGCCCAGGTGCTGCGCAAGGCGGCCTACAAGATTGTGAGTGGTGAGGCCGAGTCGGTGGAGGTGACGCCCGAAAACCTGCAGGACTTCGTGGGCAAGCCTGTGTTCACGGTGGAGCGCATGTATGATGCCACGCCGCCTGGTGTCGTCATGGGCCTGGCCTGGACCGCCATGGGTGAGCTGGGTTGTCACACTGGGGACCTACACTGCCCCTGCCTCACAGTTCCAGCCTCCCCTCTGGTGGATGGCTTTGATCACCGTCCCACCCTGCCAAGGGGCAATGTGGAGAGGGGCCCATGGGCTTGGGGCTGACAGGAGAGAGGTGTGGCCTTGGGGGTCGACTCCTGCACTGGCTGGGGAGGCCTTCAGCATGAAGCATTGCAGACAGCCGGAAGATGAGAGCGCTGGCACCTGACGGGTGCAGGGGAGGCTGTGTCCTGGCTGTGCCATCCTGCGAGGCGTCTGGGGCAATGTGGAGGATCAGACTCCTGCACCTGTCTCCCAGGAGGCTCCACGTTGTTTGTTGAGACGTCACTGAGACGGCCACGTGACAGGGACAGCAAGGAGAACAAGGATGGCTCCCTGGAGGTGACAGGCCAACTGGGGGAGGTGATGAAGGAGAGTGCCCGCATTGCCTACACTTTCGCAAGGGCCTTCCTAATGCAGCGCGACCCCAGCAACGACTACCTGGTGACCTCACACATCCACCTGCATGTGCCTGAGGTCAGTCCTGGCCCTGTCCTGCCGCGCCCCCCCCCCCCCTTGTGGCCATGGCCACAGCTGCAGCCTGCTGTTCCTTTAGGGTGCTACCCCCAAGGATGGACCCAGTGCTGGCTGCACCATTGTCACGGCCCTGCTGTCTCTGGCCCTGGACCGGCCTGTGCGGCAGGACCTGGCCATGACAGGTGAAGTGTCCCTCACAGGCAAGATCCTGCCTGTGGGTGGCATCAAGGAGAAGACGATTGCGGTGAGTGTCCCCAGTCACCACCTCCACCCAGGCTGCTGGGTAACAAGAGGCAGAGTACATCAGGCCCCACCTCAGTGACACCCACAGAAGAGTTGCCCTCAGCCTGGTGCAAGGATCTGGCACTATGAACTAGGGGTTTCAGGGGCCCATGACACTTGCAAAGCTGAGGTAGCAGGATGAAGCTATCTGGCCAGGACAGGCAAAGAATAGCCATGTCATGGAAGGACTTGTGTGCAACAGGAAGGGCTCAGGGAACCTGTCGGGGGAGGTAGAGCCAAGCAGGCTGGGCTGCCCAGCGGGGAGCATCCACTGGGTGCTGTGTGCGTGGGGCAAGCCCTGCACCACGGGGGCCTGTGGCTTTGGAAGGGCCCACAGCCTGCCCACCTGAGCTGCCGTCCCACCCCCAGGCCAAGCGCGCAGGCGTGACCTGCATCATCCTCCCTGAGGAGAACAAGAAGGACTACTACGACCTGGCGGATTTCATCACCGAGGGCCTGGAGGTGCACTTTGTGGAGCACTACAACCAGGTCTTCGACATTGCCTTCCCCATCCCTGAGCAACACGCAGAGGCCCTGGCCGTCGAGCGGTGATGCCACTGGGCACTGCGAGCCAGAAGGAAACTGTAGTGGGACACCAGCCTGGGTCCATCGTCCCCTGGACCAGACTGTGGCCAAATCATGGAGCTGTCTAATCATGAGTAAAGCATTTTCAGTATCTGCGACTGTTGCCGTGTCTGCGTCCAATGAGGAGTGGGGTGTGGCCAGTGGGGGGACAGAAGACACCACGCAGAACTTTCTGCAAAGCTTTATTCGAGGGGCTCAGTCCTTCTTGGCAGCTGCCTTCCTCATGGCGGCCAGCACGTTGCTCAGCTCCTCACGCTTCCTCTTGGCGCGGATGTGCGTCCCCACTCTTTTCTTGATGAACTTGAGGGCGCGCTTGTCCTTGGAGACCTTGAGCAGCTCCATGGCGCGCCGCTCATAGGGGGCGAAGCCGCACACTTCCCGGATCATGTCCCGCACGAACTTGGTGTGTTTGGTGAGACGCTGTAGAACAAAACGGGTAAGAGGGGGGCAGCTACTTGGGTTCTGCCGGTTCGCTGCGCGCTCTGGGTGGCCGGACTGAGTCAGCCTGCAGGGAGGAGGGCTCCATCCCCGCAGCGCAGGCCTTCCAGCTTTGGGAGGCTGAGGCAGGGCCGGGCACGCAGCAAGACCCCGCCTGGGGGCCTTAGCGAAGGGCTGGAGTGCAGAAGGCCGAGGGAGCAGCCCCCCGACCATAACGCCCAGCGCGAGGGGAGCCCTCCCTGCGAACAGGCGAGGGGCAGCGCTGGCAGGCGGCGCGGCGCCGTGGGCAGGGCCTGTGGGGCGCCGGAAGCCGAGGTTGCCACAAAACCCTCACGCAGCAAACCTCCACGAGACGAGGGAAGTCCTCAACTTTGCCCTCCATGCGCCCTTACCGGGTCCACCGCCGACGCACCGAGCGAACTCCGCACATGCGGCCAGGCCCCCGCTCCCGGCCCGATCGAGGGCTCAGCGTCGCCCGGCCCAACATCCGTCTTCCGGGGCCCTCGCGGCCGCCGGCCGCCCGACCGAGCTCAGGCACCGGGCCGCAGCGCCGCCCCGCCCCCCAGACACCCCGCCAACCCCTCTACTTACTCCGCGGCGGCGGCTGTGCCTCGGTTTGCTCACATTCTTAGTCACCTTGTGGCCCTTGTTGAGGCCCACGGCCATGGGATAGCGGAGGGCCATGGCTGAGGAAAGCGGAGAGGAGGGCTAGAAAATGGACTTAGGCTCGGTCCCCACTGCCCGGAACCGCACACCCCAACTCCCTCGGGCTCGCCCGCCGCACCCAGCTATCCCTAACCCACACGATGGGGCCGGGGCCCTGGATGGCTTCGGATGCCGGGAGCCACAACACGCTTACCTACTCTTTTTCAATGGTTGCTGTGGCGGAAGGACCCGAGCCGGGCGGAACCATGGGAGATCTACTCAACGCCGGAAGCACGGCCTAGAGTGGCACGAGAGTCGCGGGCGCCCCCTCGCGGCGGGAGGAGGTATGTGCATGCGCAATGGACTTCTCTGCGCATGCGTTTCGGTACCTTGCAGCTCCAGGCCAAGAATTGGACCCTGTGGGCGTACCTGTGTTGCCTGCTGTCTCAGGTGGAAGAAAAATTCAAGTTCTACCTCCGGGGCACCCTGCGCCAGCGACTTCAGCTTCCACAGCCTGTTTCAGACATGAAGAATATCCAAAGACAGGCGTGGTGGTGCCCTGACATCTGTAATTCCAGCACTATGGACGGTTGAGATGGGAGATTCCCAAATTCAAGCCCAAACTGGACGATTTACTAATTAGTGAGACAAACATACATACCTACACACACACACAGAGTGCTTACATACGTACATACATACATACATACATACACAGCAGGGAATATAGCTCAGTGCGAAATCCTTGGTTTCAACCTCCAGAACACACCCCAACAGGCAGTGCGTGCCATGAAAGCAAACCTCTATGAGAATGTACTGACTTCAGAGAGCAGGAGTGTTACAGCGCTCCCAGGTGGCGGGTGAATTAAGAGACACGGGTGTGGTGGCGCATGCCTGTAATCTCGGCGCTGGAAAGGCTGCGAACAGGAGGATCACTACGAGTGCGAGCTGCCTAGCGAGACTTTGTACCAAATATATAAAATTTTAAAAAAAGAAAGAAAAGGGGCCGGGGAGATGGCTCAGTAGAATAAGCGCTTCCCTGGCAAGTGTAAGGGCCTGAGTTCAATCCCTGGTTCCAAAAAAAAAAAAAAGAAAAGAAACTACAAAATTTAAGGAGTCTTAACACTGCAATGTGAGCTGAAGAGAAGTGTGACTGGACCAGAGGTGCATTCTGTTGTTTTGTTTGCTTTCAAATTTTCTTATCTGTTAGGGTTTTTCCCACTGGCTTGGCAGAGAAACAGAAGTAAAAGGGAGGGAAAAGGCCTTCACTGAAACTGAGCAGGTCAGAGAGAGGAGAGAGGCGTCCTCTGCCCTGAGACAAAGGGTCATTGGGCTTATATAGATTTTTGCTAGGGGCAGAGTTTGAGGGGCAGGTTTAGTGACACGTATGGAGCTGACGAGTCTCCCTGGCGTGGGCAAAGTGAAAGGAAATTGTATCGAGGACTGCTGGTGCGGGTGAAGGAGGAGGTGGTCTCTGGGAAGAGAAGCTGTTATTTTTGGGCTTCAGCCATGTTAGATGACCTGCATAATAATTCAGCAATTTATGCTCGGGCTGGGAACTATCATTCTCACCCTTTACTTGTTAGGAGGGGGCGATGAGTCTCCTAGACTGCTTCCTGCTGAACAGGGGCGTCGTTTGGGGGGTAGGCAGAATTGACAAGATGATGGTTCATGCCCATGTAGAAGTTAGCGCCAGGTGTCTCAGCCGGGACTAACACTCCCTCCAGGCCACGGGCGGGGGGGGGAGTAGGGGGGGCACCGACCCGTGTTACCCGGCAACGGCGTGCTGCCGGATTCCCTAGCCCCGGTCTGGCCCCGCCCCCGGGCAGTAGCCCCTCCCCACACTAGATCACGTGTCATAGGCCCGACCTCTCCGGAACAATCTCGTCTTCGCGTTGCTATGTCAACACACTTCTAGGCTGTTCTTCTTAAGTCCGGCCCTAGGTCCCTCGCGCTGGCGCGAGTGGATCTCTTGATCTTTCACATCTTCCTGGGTCTCCTTCTGGCTTCAGTCCAGACGTTTACGCCTCTTAAATCTCACGCCGCCTGGACAGAGCTGGACTACATTTCCCAGAAGGCTTGGCATACAAGGTCTTTCTGGGCTTGTTCCGACTTCATTTCCCAGAGGCCTCTTGGAGTGGGCTTGCACGCTGCTGCCGAACCTCAGAGCACTAGTGAGACTACTACTCCCAGATACCTTTGCGGTCGACAAGGGAGACTACACCTCCCGGAGGCCCTTACTGCCCCGCCTCCGGAAGCCGCGGGCGAATCGAGTGTCCTTGCGCGCGGAGCCGAGCAACCATGGTGGCCGGAGTGTGGTCGCTGATGAGGTTCGTGGGGCGCAGCCGAGCCGCCGAGGGAAGCCCTCCTGCTGGCGCTCACCCACTCTGCTCGGGTCTCCATCTGCTCTGATCTTCCCGTAGTTCACCTCCCATGGCGCACAGAGTGAAACGGAGACCCACGGGCAAGGGTCTTTTTGGGGTCTGTAATCGCCTCTCTTCTGCGTCCCAGCGATCCCTTGTTGGACCACTGAGTCCGACAGCCCTGCGAGCTTCAGTGGCCGCGTATGTGAACTGGAAATGTTCACTGAATCCCATAGCAGAGTGGCAGACAGGAAGCACCTCGGAACACTTAGAAAAAAACCCGCGGGTTGCAGGAGCCTCTTGGGATGCCAGGCTTCTTAAGGCGTCACTATTCCCTTACCTGCGGGACCTCGAGTGACCCCTGTCACTTTTCTGGTCCCATTTTACTAAAGTAAGTGGTTCTGGGCTGCATAGTGGGCGCTGAGTGCTGCGTATCAAAGGGGTGAGGCCCTGTGGGCGCCGGCGGTGTCCTGTGCCTGCCCATGAGCTCCCTGGGTAGTGAGTGGCACCCCCAGGAGGGTGCGTGGGCAGCAGGGTCCCCTGACCGTGGGTCCCTCCCCTCCCTGTCTGCAGGTTCCTCATCAAAGGCAGCCTCGCTGGGGGTGCCGTCTACCTGGTGTACGACCAGGAGCTGCTCGGGCCCAGCGACAAGAGTGAGGCGGCGCTGCGGCGGGCCGAGGAGGCGGTTCCGCCGGCCATGTATCAGTTCAGCCAGTACGTGTGCCAGCAGACCGGCCTGCAGATCCCGCAGGTACTGGGGGGCTAGACAGAGGCAGACTCAGGGGCTGCTGGGGCACCTCCAGCCCTGCTTGGCGTCCTCTGCACGAGGGCTGACCCTGCTGAAAGCCTGCGCCCTGCGCTGCCCCTGTGGGGGTGCAGGTGCTGCGGAGCCAACACTCGTCACCAGCCCCTTGCTCCTCTTTCTTCCCAGCTCCCAGCCCCTCCAAAGATTAACTTTCCCATCCGAGAGTCCTGGAATTCAGGTAGGCCCCCGGCACCCTGGATGGCTTCTCTCCCTGCTTCCTGGTCATTCCTTCCTGCTGATCCGTTCCTGCTCCCATGTCTCCGGTGGAGGAGGGGACCTGGGTTGGGTGGTGCGTCCTCGGAGGGCTGTGTGTTGTCTGGTGGGACAGAGGGGAGGCTGTGTGGAGCCCCTTCCGAGCTCATCCCCTGACGCTGGTGTGCCCCACCTCTGTCTCAGTTTCTCGGTAAAAGTAGTTGTTCTGGGGCTTGCGTGGAGGTGGGTTAGTCCCACTGAGCGTCTCCCCCGCAGGCATTATCAAAGTCATGTCGGCTCTGTCAGCAGCCCCCACCAAGGCCCTGGAGTACTCCAAGGAGGGCTGGGAGTTCGTGAAGGAGCGCACCAAATAGCGGGTCACTGCAGGCCACAGCCTGTCCTGCCAGCATGGGGGCAGGGACGCCACAGACTTACGGACTCTGGACTGGGACCCCACTCTGAGGGCAGCTCCCGGCCTTGCCGGCCCAATAAAGGACTTCGAGAAGCATTTCCTGCCCCATGTGCTGCCCTGGGGGGATGGCAGGGCCGGGGCTTTTGGCTCCTACTGGCTGGATTTGACCTTGAACCCAGGCCCCAGTCCACCCGTCTTGTCATCTGACTGTGGATGTGGTCTGGGGAGACAGAGCAGGCCACCAGTCCTGTGTCTTCGGATAACACTTGGGGGTCCTGGAAGGGCTGAGGAGGTGCTGAGTTGGAGCTGCCTGGGGCTTCACTGTTCTTGGGGGCAGCACCGGAGGCAGCAGAGTTGGTGGCTTGTTGGCATTGGATCAGGCAGAAAGAAGCCTTAAGGATTTTCTTTTTTTATGTTACATAATACTAGGGGTCAAACCCAGGGGTGCTATCCCACGGAGCTATACCCCTAAAGCATTTTTTATTTGGACCCAGGCTTTTTTTTTTTTTTTTGTATTTTAGGGAAGGGTCTACAAGGTGTTCAGGGTCTCACTATTAGATCAGACTCACAGTGATCCACCCCCCAAGAGCTGGGATTACAAGCACACACCACCACGCCCAGTCTCAATTACCCTGTCAGAGCACCCTGGGGGTGGGACTGCAGGTAGCTCTGTGTCTGCCTAAGCAGGTACTTTAATTTGCTGAGCTATCTGGCCCGCCCTCCTTTATCTGTCTTGCTCAGCTCCTGGGTCTGGTCTTGGCCATCACCTTCTACTGTGTCCCCTGCAGCCCTGGTGATTCTGAGACCACAGCCTTGTGCCACAGTTAGGGCCGCTCAGGGGCTCCTGAAAACAGCCCCTGCCCTGCCAACCTTGTCACCCTGCAGCCTGCATGTGCCTCTGCATGTTGGGCTGCAAGCTCTGGGAAGGTGAGTTCCTCTAGTGGCTCCTGGCACCCAGCCATGGGGGACATTGAGGACTGTGATGGCTGGAAACAGGCTTCTGTGTGTCGGGAACCCAGACAGCAGTGTCCCCTGGCAGATGCAGGAGGTGGGTTTGGGCCGAAACAGCATCCTCCTGGGACACTGCCCAGAAGCGGGGAGCAGGCCTCGATAGTGGCACCATCCTGGGCCTCCTGGGGTCAGTGGTGCTCGGTTCAGGGGACAGTTTAGGAGCAACCAGATGTTACAGGTTAGGGGAGCTCTGATCTGAGGCCCTGGGTAGCTCCCCAAACCAGTTGAATCTGCACTCAGCTACTGATGTAGTAACCCCTACATTCACTACCAGCTGAAGGCTGCCCCACTTTGCTAGTCATTTGTGGGGGTGGAGCAGGTCTCTTGTAAGGGCCAAATGAGAATGAGGGTCTGGGAAGAACATGGGCGCCACTGCCCTGTCCCCTCCTCCCAGCCCTGGAAGGAGAGAGCTTGCTTGGCCATTTGTAGGTCTGCTCTGGGTGGGCATGGTGGTGGCGCACCTATAATTTCAGGGCTCAGGAAGGCAGAGGCAAGAGGATCCCAAGTTCAAGTTCCCAAGTGTTGCTCCCACTTTGACTTTGTGAAGGGCTGCAGCTCAATGGTAGCATGCTCTGCCTGGATCCTCCATACTCCAAACAGCAGCACCTGTGCTGTGCGGGTGCCCAGGTTAGCGGCACACTGTCCTGGGCAGGTAGGATGTTGCACTCGCTGCCCAGTCCTGAGCTTTGGGAGGCAGGAGAGGTTGGCACCAGTGATGCCAAGGCTGTGCCAGCAGCAGGGACAGCCTGGAGGGGAAAGGGGGAGAGGCCTGGGAAGGCACCCCCCACTACAAGACATAACTAGGATTCTCTGTTGAGCTGTTTTCAGCTGCAGCGTAAGCACAGGTGACAGGAGCAGTGGCCCTGGGGACACCCAACACACTTGCCAGAGCTGCCAGGCACAGGGGCCCTGTGGTACCAGCTGAGACAGGAGGTGGCACATTCTGGGCCTGGGTTGATGTCTGGGCAGGGCCTGAGCCAGCTTGACCTAGCTGGAGGGAAGCAGGTGACGGCAACCCACAGCTGTAGTTTCCTTTCCAGCACTGAAGAGGTCACTAGGCAAAGTGTTCCTTGCTGCACTGTACTGTGCCCTTGTGCCAGCGGCTCACACTCGTGTCCCTCCACACCTTGTGTGTCCTTAGTGCTGGGAATGTTTGTGCTCAGCAGTGATCTGCTGCAGCTGAGCTTGGGAGCAGCTCTGTGGCCTTGAGGATTTTAGCCTTGGTGGCTTCGGGGAGGAGGGGGAGGTCCCAGTTGCCTGGGAAGGGGCCATCTGTCATTTCCAGCTGCCTTGCTGGGCTCAGCCTGGTGGTCAGGAGGTGGTGAGAGGTGAGGATGGGGCAGGGGGAGGGGGGCTGTGTGCCCAAACCCGCCACCCTGCCTGGCATGGGCCTTGCTATGCTGGCTCTGCCTTCTGGGACCAGACCTGGGCATCAGCTTCCTCATGGAGCCATGGCCAGGACGGGGACACACTGTGGGGACAAATCTTTCCTTATCCTGTGTAACTGGAGGCCACCAAGTTGCCTGAAGCAGGAGACTGAGTGTGCGGCACTAGTTATAGAACCTGGGGCTGCGCACGGGCCGGGCCAGGGCTGCCACCCAGCCACATCCTGACTGGGACACTGTGAGAACGCTGCATCGGGGAGGGCTCACTGCTTGGGGTGCAAGTGCTCCCTCCTGCAGCTGCTGACAGCTGGGAGGAAAGAGCCTCCTGGAGGGACAGAGCCAGACCCCGAAAAAGCACGTGATACAGACTGTAGAAACGCACTCTGGCACCTCCTGTGGGACCAGCATTTTTTCTTTTCTTTTTTTGATAGTTTAGGGTGTTCAGGGTCTCACTACTAGATCGGACTCGTAGTAATCCCAGTTTACAGCCTCCCAAGAGACAGTCTCAGTTGCTGTCTCAGAGTGCCCCGGGGATGGGGCCAGCATGGCAGGCCTGGGGATTGAACCCCCAGCCCCTGTACCTGCTTGCAGGCACTTTAATAGGGCTAGCATTTTTTTAATTCTAAATTCATCATTTATTGTAGCTTCAATTCTTGCCTCACACAAATCATGAGTGGGCCAGCATTTTTCTATTTGACAATAAAAGATCTTGCCAGGTGTGGTGGCACACACCTATAATCTCAGCGTCAGAAGGCTGAGGTAGGAGCATTACTGTGAGCTTGAGGCCAGCCTGGATTATACAGCAAGACCCTGTCCCCCCCCCCCCCAAAAAAAAAAAAAAAATTACTAGCTTGGTTGGCCTGGTGGGACATGCCTGTCATCCCAGCTTTCTAGGAGGCTGAGGCAGGAGGATTGCAAGTACCAGTCCAGCTTGAAAAACTTAACTTAGTGATACTCTTCTTTTGGTACCAGAAATTGAACTCAAATCCTCAAATGGGCAGATAGGCACTGTGCTGTTGAGCTTCATCTCTTCTGTCCGTGACCCCATTTCAAAATAAAAAATAAGCTGGGTAGTAGCTCATTGTGAAGGCCAGGGTTCCATCCCCAGCGTTACAGAAAGCAACCTTAAGGGAAACGTATGCCAGTGTGTATTTGAGGTATGAAGGAGACAATGAGGCCGCTGGGCCACCGTGTGGATCCTGGCCTTTGTCAACACTGCAGCCTCGCTGGCACCTGCAGTCCTGGAGGTGAGATGGAGCCAGGCCTTGGCTGCAGGGACGGCATAGGGAGCCATCTCAGCCTTGTTCTGGCCAGCGTGTGGGCCCCAGGATCTGGGCAGTGCTACACTCCCTGTTGAGAGCCATCTGTCTGGCACTAGTGCTTCACAGCGGAGGGGACCCTCAGGCCTGGGAGGGGCCTGCTGTTCCAATCCTCTCCAGTGATTTCCTGTCCCATCACAGGAGCTGGCCACGTGGGGATGGGTTGGGGGCTTGCTGGTGCGGCCTCCGGTCAGGGCTCCCAGGTGTCAACATCTACTCACAGGGAGAGCCACACTGCTGTCCAGAGTGAGAGTGGTGGTGTGAGGACGGCAGGTGATCGACTGGCTCCTGGGTTGCAGCAAGGTGACATGGAGTAGCAAGCTGGGTTCAGCGGCAGGGCAAGGGCAGTACTTGGAGGGAGGACGGCTTTGGAAGTGGCTGCATCCACACGAAACAGCGGAACGTGCCGCTGTGGACAGAGGCACCAGCACAGCATTACATAAAAGCAACCTCTTCAATCTCAGTGAAGAGCTGCTGTCCGCACCCCAATGCCTTCTGTGACGCAGGTAGTGGGTCCCACTGACTGACCGCCTGGTGCACCCCAGGCCCCCTGGTGGCCTTCTGACCCCCACACATGGTCTGGATGAAGCACGCATGCAGTGGGACAGGCATTGGAAGGTTCAAAGGTAACAGACCCTCAAGGGTGGTGGTAGGCCCAAGTGGCCGCAAGGCCACATTTGGGGGACAGCTGGATGCAGCTGCTTGGTCACAACAAGGATCCCCCACCTCAGGCCTGACCTCGGAGCGGAGCTGCTCTAGGGCCTGTTTTGGGAGAATGCGCACAGCCCTCGTGTATGTGGGACGCCGGCCTGGGCTGTCCCAGTGCTGCAGCCCCCAGCAATCCAAGGCTGCCGCCCATCCACGGCTCCTGAGGCTGAGCACCAGCACCTCTCACTGTCGGAATTGAGAGGACACTTAGAGATATGTGAACGGAAACACCTTTATTACAAAAAAAACAAAAACAAACTTTCACATTGTATTGAGCTACAATATGGCAGCAGATAAAAAAAATTATTTATACACGGTTTAAGGTAACTCCTAACAGAACATACTCTGGTCACAGGACAGGAACACAGGATCGGAGTACTCAGTAGCGGCGGGTGAAGCGGGCATCACTGGGTCTGCTCCCCCGGCTCTGTCCCCGGAAGCCACCCTGCATCCCCCCACGTGGGATCACGTGACCTCGCGACGCCCCACCTGGAGCGAAGCTGCCACGCCTAGGAAGAAATAAGGACAGATTCGTGTGTCCCAGGTCCCGTTCCCCTGGCAGGCCTCCCTCCCCACCTGCAGATCCCTGCAGCCCACCTTACCCTGACATGCCGCCCCGGTTCATCATGTGGCCAGGCCCCGAGTGACCCGACATACTCCTCTCTCCACCTGC